GAAGGACCCCAGCAGGGGCACTGAATCTGTTTCTGGATTCTCCTGCAAAGGCTAATACCACTGAAAGTGGCAGTGGGAGGGTCTCATTATCCTCTTGCTTGAGGTCTTTCATTGTTTTCTTGTTACTCTGAGAATAAAATTCAAAGCCCAGACATAAGTTGAGAAAGTCTAGCATGATCCTATACTGCACAATATCCACAAGCGACATGTGGCTACCGAGCCCTTGAACTGTGGCCAGTGTACCTGAGGAACTTAATCGTTGTATCTCATACAACTGTGACCAAACTAAGCAGCCACCACAGAGAGGACGCTCTCATCGTTACAGAAAGTGCTATCTGCTCCTCTCATGCCTCCCACCTCCCTGTCACTCATCTGGGGTTCGAGGGTATGCCAGGCTCATGGCCTTACTCACGGTTCCATTTGCCTGCAGCCCCTTATCCCACTCCTGAGACAGGCAGCTGCCTCTCAAACTCCAAGTCTCCACCTGGCCACTCTGTCCACCCTGGCTACAACTGCCCCTCCCTATATTCTCCGCCAGCCTCTCATCGGGCTCCTCCGCAACACTTACGGTCATTGGCCATCATTTTGTAGCTCATGTACAAGTTTACCCTTTGCCCGACCCTTTAGAAAGTAAGCCCCATAAGGACAAGGTGTGGTCTGTATCCATCATGGTACCCGGGGGCTGGCACAGTGTCTGTCTCGACGCATACTTAAGAGGCTGACTGATCCTGCTCTCTGCAGAGGGATGGGCATCCCTGCAATGGCATGGGAGCAGGCATCGACACGGAGTGACTTGTCGAGGACTAACAGGAACACAGAATGATAAGGGGACACAGAGAGGCTACTGAGAGACTGGGACTTGGCAGTATGAGTTTATCAGGGCAGGTTAGAAGAGGCCTGGATCAGGCAACTGTCGAGGACCCTACTGAATGATCAAAGGTCCTCAGCTAGAAAAGCCCTGAAGAAAGAGAGCAGGCCCTATAGCCACTGTCCAGGAAGTTTGGGGTGCCTCAGACAGAGGGCAGCTGCAGAGATGTGCTGAGACAAGGGGGCCACTGTGGCAAGCATAGTGTCCAGAAAGGTCACCTCTTCCTCCAGATCCCTAGGGGGTGCAGACATCCATTCAGAGCACCCCGAGGGGATTGAAACCCAAGCTAGACGAAGCTGCAACCCCATTACTCTCAGAGGCAGCACAAGCTCCAGAAGCCTCTCAGCCCTCACAGGATCCATCTTCAGCCTGTCCCAGCCCTGTCCCCTCTCTAGAAGGTGAACTCCACAAGGCAAGACTTTGTCTCCTTCATCACTGTGTCCTCAATGCCTAGGACAGGGCCTGCACATGGTAAGTGCTCAGTAAATACTTGTTGAATAAATGAATCCATGTTCCCTACATTGGTGAACATTGAAGCCCCAGGATGTTAAATCTGGGTAACACTTAATTCTGGAGGCTGCAGCAAGAGAATTAGAGACCCAATCTTATTCATTCGTTCCAATGCCTTGTTGAGGAAACTTTACTTGTTTCAGAAATAAGTCAAAATTAATTTCTTTCAGGAAGCTTTCCCTGAACCACACCTCATCCTCCAAACTCGAGTCACCCATGTGTACTAGAACTTTTCACTGCCTAAATTTAAGTTCTGGCAGTCACCCAGAAGGATGCCATTTCAATGCTCTGCTCACATGACAGCTCCTCCTTGATATTTATTCTTTACTTTAGCAATATCACCTTTTTTTTTTTTTGGTTAGTTTCTGAGACAGGGCCACAAATGAAATGAGATGCAGGCAGAAGACAGAGAGAGAGAGAGAGAGAGAGAGAGAGAGAGAGAGAGAGAGATGGCTGGCTCAAAACCACACACTTGAGTCCCAAACCCGTTCTTGCAGCTGAACACACCCCGCTCACCTGCCCCAAGCTGGGCCTTGACAGCCCCTCCTCTCCCTCCCTCTCCTAGGTCAGCAGTGGGACCTGGGCTCAAATCTAGGCTTCGCTATGGAGTGAACCTTCCTCGGTGTGTTTCCTCTTTCCAGATCCACACCTCACAGGGCGGCTGTGAGAGGACCAGGCAAGGTGACGCATGTGGGGTAGACCGGGGTGCACAGCAACGGCTCAGCCGGTGGCCGCCAGCATCTTCTGGCCGCTCGCAGGGCCCCCTTCACTTTGCTGCTGGGAGAGGGAAACAGAGAAAATACCACCCAAGATCCTCTCGCTCTGTAATCACCAGAAACGCCGACAGCATTACAGAGTGGGGGGCCGGGGATTTAGCTCAGTGGTTTGGCCACCTGCTGTGCAAGCGCAAGGACCCGAGTTCAATCCCTGGTACCAAAAAAAAAGAAAGGAATTACAGAGTGGGGGCGCTGGAGTGGACATGAGGGCCATCAACGCTGAGCCCTCATTTTATAGATTTGGTGCTAGGGACAGACACCCCATTGTGGAGCAAGTTAGGGATGGGGCTGCAGCCCAGCGGCCTGACTTCCGTGTCGTGCTATGGGCACGGCGGCTGCCAGAGATCGGTCTGTGGAAGGATTTGCACCCGCTGCTTGTCATGAGGGATCATGAGGAGCGGCCTGGCACCGCCACTGAGGCCCCAGGCTGTAGCCCAGCTCCTGTGCTTGGCCCTGTCCCTGCCAGTTACCAGCGGGGGCCTCACTGAGCCTCAGTTTCCTCATCTGAAAACGGAGGATGATGGTGCTGGTGCCCCTCACAGGGCCATCACAAGGGGTCAAAGCCATGGTCGGGACAAAGGGCTCAGCTGCACGTCTGACTGGCAGGCATGGTGCCGTAGGAATCGGCAAGTGTTGGTGGTGCTATCGATATTCAATATCAGTTCCAAAATAACAGCAGGAACCAGAAGCCTGAACTTCAAACCTGGAAACAGTCTTAAAGAGAATCACTTCCGGCTTTTATGGAGCTGCTTTGAATAGGAACATGGGCTACTCCAATCACCTCCTTCAGGGCCCTTCTACATCCTAGAAGGTAGCAAAATTGTCATCCTTTAAAGACTTAATTAAGGTTTAGCACAGCTGGCATATTAGGCTTCAGATAGGCCGAGTGTGTGATACAATGGAGTTCATTTTTATGGGCTGTCGCGTGTACTTTACAGCACACTCAGCCCTTACGTGACCGGTGTGCACTGAACTTTAATGCCCATTTTATAGACTTTCATAAGGGAGGCGAGATGATGTGGTGGAGTGAGCACGGGAGCAGCAGTCGCCGGGCCTGTTTAGAAGAGAGGCTCTGCCCCGGGTGACCAGGACCCTGCAGCTTCTCCCGCTCTGTGGAGTGTGGACGGGGGCAGGCGACATCCCAGGCTCCGAGTGGCCCTGGGAGCTCTCGGCTGGAAGCAGAATCTGACAATGCTGAGTGACGACGAAGGGTTTCAGGTGCTCGACTTCTGAGTCTGATCGTGTTTCTGGTCACTTCTCGGATAGCTTTGTCACTCTTTAGGAACACAGTCCTCAATTATAACACTATTTCTAGTGGAAACTACAGTTTGTTTTACAGTTGCTCTGTAAGTGGCTCTCAGGAAGGCCTTCCGGGAAAGCAGGGCTCCCCGTGTATAACACCCACTTCTCCAGAACCGAGTGAGTGACCTTCATAGAACTGCTGAGGTGCTCACTTGGTCTGTTCATTCATTTATTTGTCCTACTAGGGATTGAACCCAGGGCCTCAGGTATGTGAGGCAAGAACTCTACTGCTAAGCTACATCCCCTCCCCTTTTCAAAATGTTATTTTGAAACAGGGTCTCACGAAATTGCACAGGATGAGCTTGAACTTGCCCTTCTCCTGCCTCAGCCTCCTGAGTAGCTGGGATGGTAACAGGCATGCGCCGCCTCACCTGGCTCAGTCCTCTGGATCCATTCCCTGCACAGAATTCCCAGCTAGCACAGGTTTCTGAGAGTCCCTCCCTCCGCAGATTAAAAGTGCTGTGTGTGAGTGGGGAACAGCAACTGCAAATGACAGCAAGCGTGACAGCTGTGACAGTGTCACACAGCTCCCAGAGACCAAACTCGAATCCGACCAGACTGCACTGCTCACTGCTCAGTGAGGATGTCTGGGATGAGAAACTCGAGTCACTGAGAAGGGGATAAAAAATGTTCAGTATCACCTGCTTCAGGGGGTACTGCAGGTGTGAAGCCTGTTAGAGAGACTCCCGTCAAAGCACTTTGAAAAATGCTCAGCTGCTGTCACACACCAAAGTCACCATGTGGGCTCCCTCCGAGGCCGGGGCGGGCGCCACCTGAATGAAGCGTCACCAAGCACGTCCCGGCCTCGAGTGTCTGCAGGAGCGGGCACACGGCAGTGCAAGAACAGCAAGTCCACGGTGGGGAGTTTTAGGGATGAGGCAGCTTTGGTTCTTCAGTAAGGATCTGGGTAGGATTCAAGTTCGGCTTGATTTGTCTTAAATTAGCTGGCATCATCCACCCATTCAAAAATATTTTTACTGGGTGTTTAATGCATGCCAGGCACTGTCTTAGGGGCTACGTATGACGTTTCAGAGAGGATGCACTACTCAGGTGGCATGTGGGGGCACACGCAAAAGTGACAGATGTGCTACTCTGCGGCTCTGTGTTTCGGGTGTGGCCCCGGCGAGGCCTTCCTGCCCGGCTTCGCGCCCGCTCGCTGGAAGCTGTGTAGAGCAGAAGGTGGGGTCCGCGCCACGGCGCAGTCCCTCTGGGCAGGAGCTGTCCCTGCCCTCAGTCTGCAGCCCCGCGGCCTCAGCACCCGGCTCTCTGGGGCGCGGTGGGGGTCAAGAAAGCCTCTTTTCCTAGAGAGCAGTGTCCTGGGGTCCCGAGCTGAGCGCGTGCTTTCTCCGTGAGCCGGCAGGAGCAGGGCAGAGGGGCGTCTCCGGAGCCCCAGGTCGTGGGCCGAGAAAGGGAGAGGCAGCAGGCACGCGAGCCCCACACGGGGGAGCCCTGCCCCCCGCCCAGCCTCTCGGCAGCGGCGGTGCCCTGCAGCTCGGCGTCAGAGCCTCCGCGGAGCGCGCCGCCGAGTGGGAGGTGCAGGGCAGGGTGTATATCCTGTCCGACAGAGGGCGGGCCGCAGTGCCTGCGAGGGCAGAGCCAGGGCGGAGGCGCCGGCAGCAGCTGCAGGGAGGCCTCCCTCACCCATCGCACACTCTATGGCCACAGGGAGCCGCTGAGCGCGAGAAGACCACGCTCCCGCCCGCCGCTCCGCTCCGCACCGCCCGCACCGCCCGCGCCCCAGCACCATGAACCACTCGCCGCTCAAGACCGCCCTGGCGTACGAATGCTTCCAGGACCAGGACAACTCCACGCTGGCCTTGCCGTCCGACCAAAGGATGAAGACAGGCACGTCGGGCAGGCAGCGCGTGCAGGAGCAGGTGATGATGACGGTCAGGAGGCAGAAGTCCAAGTCCTCCCAGTCGTCCACGCTGAGCCACTCCAACCGAGGTGAGGGCTCCGCGCCCCTGCCTGGCGCATCTGGCGGGCGGCGGGCGGCAGGGCTGAGGGGCGGCCGGCCCCAAGCGGGTCCTCTCCGGGTGGAAGCTGCTTCACCAGGGCTGCCTGCGACCGTGTAGCCCCTCCGGAACTCAATGGCGCGCTGGGGGGCGGGGGTGGGTGACTCGCAGCGGGAGCTGCCCGGGGCTTCTCTCTGGCACCCCTGGAGGCCCCGAGGGTGTCCCTGGAGCTGATCTCCGCGCCCAAAGCCCCGGGGCGGAGGGCTTTCTCTCCCGACCCTGCTCCGGGACGTCCCGCACTCTGTCTGGCCCTGGCCTGTGGCAGAGGCCCCAGGGCTCACCGAGGATTCTGTGCCGCCTCCCCCGTCCAACCTGCCAGGGCTCCGCCATCCCCTATGCCTTCAGCAGCAGTTGGAGCCCAGAGCTCAGGCTTTGGGGGATCCTTGTCCCGGTGGGGCCGGTGTGGGGCTGCCAGGCCAGGGTGTGAGCGAGTTGCGGAACCTTGGTTGGGGGACTCAGGAGAGGCAGTGCTGGATGGGAAGCTCTCAGGGAGCGGGAACCAGTGCCTGGAGCCACAGCGCGTTAGGAGGAACTTCACACCCAGAAGAGGCAGGTTCGTTTGGAGTCCACCCAGCCGTTAGTGTGCCTTTGCTGACCGGGAAGGCTGTCGGGCCGCCGTGTGCCGTTTCCCCAGCAGCTAATGCAGAAACCCCTCGAGGTCCCCACAAGTCACCTGGGAAGAGCAGGGACTGAAAGGAGTGGGAAATCCCTTCTCCAGGGAAAACCCCTGCGGATCCCACCCAGACATTTTTCAAATTCAGATTCAGGATCTGACCTCCCTCATCAGTTTCTGTAAGTGCCAAAGTCCCCAGCTGGGGGAAGCTGGGAGAAAGGGATAGGACCCTTGAAACTGGAAGGTGTGCTACTTGGTAGGAACATTGGTGGAGGATTTTTAAAATAAATACTTTAACACAGAGGAATTCCAGTAAGAAATATGTGCATTAACAAATCTTCGGTGTGTTTGTTTGTAATTTTATTTAGCTAAGTTTGGTAAAATGCTAATAGAGACTGCACACTGCAAACCAGTCCAGGTCACCCAGGACTCATCTAATAATTCAGGGCCTAGAGAATGTGAGAGGCAGAAGGACTGAGGAAAGAGATAGACCTCTGCCATGGGCACACACACCAGCTCACACTCTGCCTCTGCCTTCTGCTCCCCGCCTTGCTAAGTTGCCCTTGTGTAGAGAACCTGGCAGGCAGAGGACTTTCCCACCTGCCACACCTAAAGGCCTTCACTGCTCCCAGTGCCCTTTGCCCTGGTCTTTTCTCCTGCCAGATTTCAGTTCACTTGCCTCATGTCGTTTTTATTTCATGCCCTAGCAGCTACTTACCTGCCTCTTTTGAAAATAAGTTTGCGATGACAAAGGGCCCACAGCTTCAGCCGTCCTATTCCATCTCTCCAGGAGACTTAGCTGCCCCTTCCCGCCCTCTCTCCAGGCAGCCTCAACTCCTGGCTCATAGCTCCAGGAAAATCTCAAACCAGCCACACATGCCCCCCACACCCCTTCTTCTCCCAGCCTGTCGGAATAGTGGCTGACCAACTGTCATCATAATTGTTTCTCTGGCTGTGGTCCTGGTGGGTGACTATTTGATGGGGTCTAGACCTCGGCTTCTCCCTGGGGGTTTCAGCCAAGTGGAGGTTGACCCCAACTAATGTACACTTGCCCAGAAGCTCTCCGGGGCCTGACCCTGTAGGTGTGTCTCCTGTACCCTCAGCCTCTGGGGAAGTTCCCAAAGGGGCCAGTTTCCCCAGCAGCATCCTAGCTGGAAAAGGCGGTCTGATCACTTGGAGCTGGTGTTTCCGGTTTATCTGGCTTTGTTTTCATCAGATTTTTCTGTCCTCGCGTCAGAAATGCCCAAGTGTTCCCCATTTGCTCCTAGTTGCTTGGTGGCCACCCTGCTCCCTCTTTCTCGGGGTGGTTTCTATGCCGTGAGCCTGCTTTCACCCAGAGAGGGATGACTTGGGAGCTGCGAAGGGACCTTGTCCCTGGAAAGACTCAAGTTCTCCTGTAGTCTCCTCCAAGAGCAAAGAGTTGGTTTCTCTGGGTCTTGGACCCCGTGAATCCCACCCCAATCTAAAGAAGGCCAGCCCCACCCATCAGGTTTGCTGGGCAGAGCAGCCATACTCCCCGTGAGGATCCGTGAGGAATCAGCACCCCACGGCCCAGTCCTGATGACAGAGCTGGCTCTTCCTCAGATCCCTGGGTTCTCTTCTGTCTTGTCATGAGGGGAAGTGAGCCACGCAGGGCTGGAGAAGGATCCCTGTGGAAGGAATCTGACACCTGTCTCCACACATGGCCCCCTGGTACCTGGCACACTAGACAGACACCTCCCCTGGTCATCAAGTCCCCAGGGAGACAGAGGGGCTCTCTGGGGCTGAAGACCTGCAGAAAGAGGTCACTCTTTTTACCTGTTTACCCATGGAACTGCCACTGCCATGCTGCTGCCTGGGCGTTCAGTGTCCCTGTGTGTGTTGCAGTGTCAGGCACTTTTCTTCCCGGACTATGTGGGAAACAGGAAAGCAAGGGGGATGTGGCAGCTCAGCAGAAGATCTTAGCTGGGGAATCTTGACTTCCCTGAGGATGGAAAGGGCCTTGGGGGTTAATAATTTGCTGTCTGTGAGGGTGAGGGGCTAGTGCACTGGTTACCTGGCCTGGGGAGCTCGTTTGAAATCTCTTCCTGCAGGTTTACCCAAATTTCATTATATCTCAGCCCCAACACATGCACCACCAGGAACACACAGCACATGTGAAGTTCCGTGAAGGAGCTTCATTTTCTTGTTATTGTTTCCAGAGACAGCCTAACACTACCAGCCTATGCTGCCTGCTTAAATATCTGTGATTCTTATTTCAGACTCCTGGCTTTTCTCAGAAGCACTGTACCATGTCCCACCTAAAATGCAGATCCCCCCCAAAAAAATGCAGAGCCTTTATGTCCCTCTGCTCAGAGATTGGGGTTGGGGCAACCTTGGCCCTGGGAGGTGCCTGGCTTGCCTTCCAGGGCTCCTGTGTCTGTTCATGCTCCCAGAGGGCAGCCTTGCGCTAGCGAGGTAGCCGGCCCTGGCAGCCCTCGCCTTTGGTGGCTTTTTGTTTGCGCTCGGCTGTGTCTCAGCATGAACCCCTGCTGGGGGTAGGTTTTGCTCATTCTACTCTCTTGAAAATTGCCCTTTCCTGACCACGGACTGCGGACAGACATCACTCTGGGGGTGTTTTCCCGGGACTTAAGCTGAGATGAGAGATGGTAGAGAGTATTTGTGCTGTAGCTTGTTCCACCAACAAAACATACTAATTAAACTTCAAATGAACTAATTCTTGTTTCTTTACAATGGATCTTGGCTCGAAGTTGGCATTTTAGCCAGAATTTCTGTTGGCCTGTTAGAACACATGCAAAAATGCTGAGTATTCTAGGGTGTTTCTCAGCAAATGTTTGTTTCCCTGGACCCAGTCTTTTGCTAAGCTCATTGGCAGAGAGATTTTTAGAATGCAAACTCCTCTGCCCTCATACCAAATTGTAAATACCAATATGCTAATTGTTATAAGTTTAAAACTCTGACTCTAGAAAGTATATGATGTTTGAACAAAATAAAATGGAAGGATGTTAAATATCCTCACACGTGTATAGACAATGCACACACACATGCACACTTATGTGTACCCATGAGCATGTTTACATGTGTATAAATACACTCCAACACACATATACACGCCTTCCTGCACACACACCTGTATAAACACACTCAGAAGTAACACACACGCACAGCTTATATGTATGCACAACCTCCCATATGAGCATGGACTCCCACACATGTACACACAGACACACATGTGCACACACACACACACCACTCACAAGCACCTACACACTCCACACTATGCAGCATCCACTATCAGCCTGGCCTCTGCTGCTGGCTGACACTCGGACTTGGACAAGGCAGTGCTTTTCTCCAGGTCTCTGCAGCTGTCAGAGTTGGATTAGATCATGTCAGGAGGGCTTTGTGATGGCAACACTCCAGAGACAGATCTTCTAACTCCCTCCCTCTGCAAGCTCTTTGCCCAAACTGCATAGCTGTCCTGCCAAGAGGCTCCACCCTCAAGGCTCCGCAGTCACTGAATCTCTCTTGTAAACATCCTAGGATATATGAAAAAGTTCTAGTCCACTGGATCCAGACTTACCTGCACAGTGGAATCACCTGGGTTTTAAAAAAAAAAAAATTAGTCCCTGAGTCCAGCTGTCAGAGATTCTAATTTAGTACAGAGGACAGCACGGGCAGGAGGACATTAGAACTCCCAGGCCCCACCCCACCCCTCTCCCCCTTACACACACACACGGACATTCTGTGTAGTAATTGTTGGTGACAGGTTTTCTCTGGGTCGCAGCAAGTCTTGTTCCCAGCCTTGCCCACCTAATCCACCAGCCCGCCCCTGTGCCAGGCCTGTCCCCACTGGATGCTCCCACATCCCACCCAGTCCTTGGGCTTAGTGATGGCCATGCGTGCATTGTTAGAAAGAGCAACAGGATTCTAGCAGAGGCCAGCTTGAGCACCTCCCAGCAGGGCCAAATGTCACATGCACCAGGAAGAGAGAAGAGAAGGCCAGGCTGCCGCAGCCACTTGTGTTGGCATTTCTGTTCTGTGCGCATGCCAGGGAAAGGCCAAGAACTATGCTGGACTGCCTGGCAAGGCTGTGTGAACTCCCTGCCCTCTTCTGGCTCCTAGAAGCTCCGGAGTGGGGGAGGCCATCCGTGGCACTCCCAGTGGCCGGGCAGAAGACACGGGAACGCTGACTACACTCCTCCAGGCACCTGGCCCATCCTGCTCATCCAGCCCACTCATGACCACCTCTGGGGGTATTGTCTCACAAGTGTCTTCCTGGCAGTTCTTCCTGTTACCTCATTTAAATTCCCTTTATTTTGGGCCTAGCCCTGGGCACCATG